ACGCTCTAACCACTGTGCCACGTAGGTGACTCCCTGGAGTATACTTTTATAATATTAAATAATACCAAAATAGTTTAGATTTCATTACTATCTCTGAAAATTCTGGTCTACAACCCCTTTCAGCCTATCTGTAAATTTTGCTTGAGTCAGGTTCATCATAGTTAATGCAACATGTGGATTTTACATTTTTTTAGCTAGTCCTATGGGACTAAATCAGAGAGAATTTTTGTTACCGAGTGATATAGAGACATAAATGATGTTTCTATAGTGTTTATTCATATCAAAAAGGTAATCCTACAAGGAAATATAAGTACATGTAAATATATACATTTTATATATAGTAATGCATTACATATGACACGTAATTACATATTTCAACTTTATTAACATTTATGTTATTTATTTACTAAGAAAAATTGAAAAGTTATCAACATATGATAAAATACCTTGTACGAGATTCTACAGTAAGGAATCGCCGGATCCGCAGTAATTTAAATCTGAAATTTGGCTCGCTTTTATTACAAAAGAAAAGATCTGATTTGACAGTTCATTATGGCAATAGCCAATTAGAAGTCATAGCCAATAGAAAAGCAAAAAAAAAAAATGTTCACAAACTCAATCCACCTGCGCACACAAACTAGCTTAATTTTTTTTTTCATTGACAGCGTTAATTACATTAATTTAGAATGCAATAAATATATTTAATATAATTATATAAATATGCCCAAATACTTCCCTGCTTTGAATTTTATCGTCCCGATAAAATCAAATTATATATTAAATAAATAGAGACAAAAACTAATCTAATTCCTTTGCACAAGTCATATTTTTCTTATTCACATAGTCTATAATTCATCATGACAGGTTTTTTTTCATTTGAGAATTAAACCCAAATACCGTCTTGCTTTCCGCGCACACGCAAGCTACGACGTAAAGGTATTGGTAAACCGAAGTCTCTGTTTCTCTTAATGTCACACGCATCACCGCTTGAATTTTGAGGTAGGTATTTAATATTTAGTCTATGAGGAGTTCTCTGATGTTTGTCACTGTGTAATTGTCTGGATGCGATATCTTGTTGAACTCCAAAGGTCCTTCAGCTTATGTATTTCGGTAGTCACGGACAAAGTCCATACAATAGACCGAGTGTATATGATGTCTCTTTTGATTCACATATACCTTATGTCAATAAACAATTAGGTCTTCATCACATTCGCACTAAACTTTACGTGGTTCCTTTGAAATTCGAGAATCGACTATAGAGAAAGCTAAAGCAAGTCCATACTTGGATTCTTCAACTGCAGAGTACAAGTGTTTGTGATTATGGATGTCGCCCAGCACAGGGTCTTTAAACCACCACGAGTGTCGGAAGGCAATTATTCTGTTTCAAGCCGTCGGTTTCTTAAACTTTCAATTACCAACAAAGGAAAATATGCTGGGAACATTACTCACTCTTTATCATAAAGTTCATTCATGAAATGTATGGAGAGAACGAACAGTATGCAAGCTCAAAAGTCCATTAAACAATATAAATTTTGAAGCAGAGCAAACTCGGACCTCTAAAACAACAGAGGTAGGATCAGGTGCCATGGTGGAGTGAGCATCCCCTGCGACAAGTCACACTCGCCTTCCAACATATTTCAAGTTGAAGTTTGAACCCTACATTTTCTGTTGATATCTTCAAAGTGCTGCTTTCAACCCTTTCAATATAAACAAACCATCCAATGCCTTGATCTTTTACATCTAAAACAAAATCCACTTGAGTGTTCTTGTTCTTCTTTCAACTATAGTCCCGCTGCACACGTCATTACTGGTGATATTTATCTAGTTAGAAATGACGACCTAAAACCAATCATAAAAGGTCCTTAATACAGGGAGCCCCGAGCTTTCATTTGGCGGTAGAACTTCATTTTTATTATAAACTTTGTCGAAGATTATGTCAGATGTCGTACAAAACATGAAAGGAGGGGACCTGACCGCGTTCCTAGAATGGATTGACTGTTTTAAAATATATTAAAGAATCATGTTAGAAGGTTAAAAATTGGTTACACCATAGAAATTTATGCGAAACATTTTTCCTTCTGTTTTCAAATAATGACTCGATTTATCCCAGTGATCTTGGAATAAAAGACACCGCAGAGTCTGCTTCATCTGTTTCCTATTTGGATGTTTTACTAACCAACTTAACTGTATGACAAACGATATTACTTAAGCTTCTTCATCGTCAACTTTCCTTATTTATGTAGTGATATTCTGCTATCTCCTGCCTTTAGTGTTGTTGTGTCTCTCAACTTACTCGATACTCAAGAGCATGCTCTGAGTACGATCAATTGTTCAATAGAGGCAAGCCACTGAGAGACAAGTTCATGTAACGGGGATTTCAACAACCTCGTTTAAAGTCAGCATTTTGTAAATTCTATGGTTGTAATAATGACCTTGTTAACAAATATAACCTACCATTGGGTCGTTTTTTGGCTGACGTGTTTCATATTAATTGATAGGCCTTAGGATTTGACTACGGAATGTTTCGTCAACCTGATCAATGCATAGGGATACTGGCCGGACTGACAGGTCAGAAATCACAAAAGTTTAACAAATTAAATCAGTAACATCAAAATGTACGCCTTTTCAGCACTTTATACAACCATCCCCTACGATAAATCAACGTCCAGGCTTTTTGACATCATAGATAGCTGCTTTTTCAATAAAAATGGAACTTGTAAATATACCTACCTTGTCACTGGTCATTTGCAAAATTATTTTGTTCAAAAATATTCTGATGTACAGACAAGTACTCTGAAATTGATATTTGAAAGATGCTTGAGATTTTGATTGACAATATCCGTGTAGTTTTCCGACATCAGGTCTTCCAACAATCTGTTGGAATTCTCATGGGTACCAATTCCGGCCCCTTTTTAGAAGACCTATTTTTTTTAAAGATTTATCCTATAGTATCATGGGTAAAACATTGACCACTTAATTTGATTCATCTCTATTCCCAGGGAACATAACCTGAACAATCCTGTACAATCTACGCAACCTGAGAATGCTTCCATTTAAATATGACTGATGCTAGCCTTGCTGTTCTTGAGAAGAAGACTTTTCCTATAAATTCTGATGTACCATATGTAAACCTTTCATCTCCCACTGAGTCCCCACCCTACTTCCGGGGATCATGATGTGAACAAACTTGAATCTACACTACCTGAGAATGCTTCCATAAAATATAACTAATTATGGCTTTGCTGTTCTTCTTCAGAAGATTTCCTATATGTCTCTATATGTAAAACTATTTTTTTGCCTTTGTGACCCTGTCCTATCCACTAGGGTCATGATTTGAACAAACTTGAATCTATGCTATTTAATCAAGCTTTTACGTAAGTTTGATTTTCTGGCCCAGCAGTTATAGAAAAGATTTTTAAAAGATGCCATTATATTTTCACTAATTCATAATTACATGTATCACCCCTTGGAAGAGGGTGTGACCCTTCATTTAAACAGATTTGAATCTGCTTTACCCAGGGATGCTTTGTGGAAAATTTCGTTACTATTGGCTCATTAGTTCTTGAGGTCAAGTCGAAAATGTAAAAATTTACAGACGGACAGCTAAACAGCTAGACGGACGACACACAAAATGTGAACAGAAAAGCTCACTTGTGGTGTTGTTACATTCATTTATTTCGAATTTATAGTCTTCATGCTTCTTTTTTGTTAAGATGGTATAGGACAGTATCATCTAGGAAAAAATAATCCATATATAAATTTGGAAAAAAAACTATTTGTTATGGAACGTTCCACTGGAAGAAAAGCGACTATCAATATCGTTTCTCAAATGATTTTCAAATGATTTGTCAGGGAAAAAAAACCTTTAACGTAACAGCTATTACCTTTCTTTGCTTATATAATTTCATCATTGTCTTAAACAAAGCACAAAAGAACAATACCGTACAAAAATACTTAGAATGTATGGGAGATTGTCAATGATATGAACAATCTACATTTAGAGAGAAGGTGATATAACCAGTAGATATTTTAAATATGTACTGAGTTCTTATGCTCTCTTGTTTATAAGAAAGGCGACACATCGTTTGCAGGAAAATTATTAAAGAACCATTACTCAGTTTTGTTCTGATGAAAAGAAAAATGACCAAGAAAGCAAGTATGGACTAGTTATTTCACGGTAAAACAGTTTTATTATCATATTCAAAACAACAGAGTAACGTAATGTCTAAACGGACAGTGATTTACAAGATAGGTAAACAGAAAATCATGTTCATCAGCATGACATATAAAAATACTCGATAGTACAAAAAAGCTTGAATTTCTAATTATATCATTACTCCCTCATTTTAAAGAAAAAAATACTAGTAGTTAAAATTAAATTTTAAACAAAATAGCAGGGGCTAAAGTGTGATTAATTATATCTGATGGCAATATCCTTCAAGGCACCCCAACTTGTTATAATATGCTGTCCTTTTCACACCTTAGCCCGTGCCGATTTGTTATTTTTTTTAATTAATATCATGTCAGTATTTCCCACTGATGTACTACAGATAGAATTTGTTACGATGCTTTTGTCACATGTGCGAGACAATCAAAAGAACAAAAAATAACAACGCATTCAACGTCAGCTCCCATAAATTGATCAAGACAATAGAGACGATCTATTGAAATATGTGTTTGTCAAACTGTTGATGAAGGTATACAGGAGTTGTCAAGAAAGTTGGTGGACATGTGCTAGTTTTTATTTAATATAATGACACTGCCAAGGTTGTGGGATAATATTGTAACATACATCATGATTGAGTAAATGTTTGGGAATCAGAGATATAAACAATATTTAATAAAAGTTATTACCAATATTACTTTGTATATATACAAGACGCATACGGTTTAGTCCAACATTAATCCAGATTCATAATGACGTCCTAAATACGGGATTTCGAATTTTCATCAAATAACAGTAACCTTTTGTTTCCTGCTGTGCCCCCCCCCCCCCCCAATAATACAAACTGTCTGGGAACTGTTTCTTAGATACGTGTAAATCAATGATTTGGAATTTTTCCTATTATTCCCTGTTTATTTAATTTTTTTCGAAATTACATGATGCACGCTTGTCCATTCGGAGGGTAGAAGGCGCTTTTCTGAACGTTTTCACAAGCATATTTCTTGTAGTTTTTCCTCGATATTTACTTCATCTTTCTAATAATTCAAATGACATCAGAAGAGGATGTCAGCAGTATTATGTGCGTCGCAATTAATTTTTATTAAGTTTTGATTTTTTTTTTACATAAAATATAATAATATGAATTCAAAAACAAATTCATAACAACAGGTTTACTATTGGCCGTACACAATATCCACGGCCTTTCAAGACTTCAATATACATAAAATTAATGTTTGAACATTTTTCATATGCTATTATTTTTACCTACGACCACGTAACATGCCATTCTCAACAAATTATCTGGCCAGTCTTGTACAGACAAATCCTTTGAAGTATTACATATAGTAAATGCATATTTAATATATAAAAAAATCTTTTGCATGTGAAAGAAATTCTTTGTATTCTAGATTTCAAAACGATGAGTTTGTTCCTAACATTAAGATGTTTTTGCTGTTTTGAACGACTGTTAGTGTGTATACTTTTTGTAATATCAAATTAGTGAGGAACGTGTATCCCAAATCAGTATTGTATACAAATTCAATATATCAGTAAAAAAAGATTATTTCCTTTCCCTTTTAATACATGGGATAGTTTATGGAGATTAAAAAATCAACTTTGGTTTAATTATATACTCACAATAGTCAATATACACACTATATATATGCAGTATTTATATAATATACTTTCATCAGGACAGTCATTTGACTTTGGGTTTCTAGACATAAATATAGGATAGATATCCAGTGACAATATATCCACTTTGATACATCCATAACTTTCAAATTTTATTTGGTATTTTGTAACATTATATTTTTCCATATACTAGCTGGATTCTCTCTTTTCCAGTAGTTTTAATGTAATTCAATTCTTATGAATTTTTATGTACACTATATAAACATAAAATAAGGAAAGCGAAAAAATGATTGTTATTGCACTTGAATCAATTCAAATAAAACACCTTAAAGAAATGTATGTGACTACGCATTATAAAATTAGTTACGATTGCGAGGGACATAATGAGTTTCCTGTCAATACAATAACATTTTCTGCTGATTAAATCCAATACTGGCTACATGCATTTCGCGAGGTTTAATCAAACCAGAATTTATTTATTCGATCGATGGAATCTTGAGTGAGGCAAAATGCATTAATGCAGAAACAGCTCTTTGAAAATATTGGAATTGCTCTGTTTTTAGAGGAAGAATAATTTACAAAAAGAAAAAAACATCAGAACATGTATATAATTTTGCTGAAATATGTACGAACGAATTCACAGAACAAAACTCTGTAATTCAGTTAACTGAAAGGTAACTGAAAGTCAACTGGTCAAAAGGTGACTGAATGGCAGATCCCTGCCATTTTCTGACATTTCCAGACCATTCAGTGACCATTCAGTTGAATGAATGGTGTTGGTTCCTCTAGTGATTAATGATAATATTATGAATGAAATGAACATAAATTTGAGTCCTGAACATGAGTGGAAATCTGGACAAAAATAAATGACACAATGTGGGAGGAATGACGTAATGTAGGCACATTTGATGTCACATTTCTGTCGTTGCTTCCTCCATGTGAATTGTGGGTAATGCACTGAACCGTGACACACTGGGGAGCACAGGCTCTGTGTTCATTCTCTGTAGCCTCCTTTTCTCTCTCTCGTCCATTGTTATAGACAACTTCCGGCTGTAGTTTTTATAAATAACGCTATCTTGCGGTCTCTTCACAATTCGTATACTCTCCAAGTTTTTAGGGTTATGTTTATACCGGGGTTCAATGGGCTGTAAGATCCTGATGCTGTCCCACTGTTTATAGCAGAGTACCATAGCAACAATCCACACAGCAACCACTATTAGTATAAAAATGATCTCCTCCGCCCGGAAGCCATAATGCTGGACCCGTACTCGATCCCCGTCTTCTGAAAAAAATAGAGATCAATTCCTTTCATTTCGACACGCTTTAATTTTATTTGATCAGTGTATATAAACACACCTAGCAGTTTATTTGTGTACATAGCGTCATATAATAAACAAAATCATACATGTATTTACTCATTATTTACATATTACATATAATTTTCTGTCCTTGTTGCCAGGTTCCTACTAAATGTTTGCATGCGTGTGCTACAATGATTCCGTGCCATAATATCGGATAGTAGTACTGAAGTGATCGTGGTTTTTCATGCAGACAGTTTTAAGGACGCAAAAAATAATTTAATCTACCCTTTAAAAAAAAACAAAAGACGTCTTTTTTTTTATACAAAAAAGTAACTAATATACCATATCATGTGACGTCACAGTCGCAACATAAGACAACAATCATATTAACATCGCGAGAATTTCATTTTTGGTCTGTCTGCTCGCAAAATTTTCATTCTCATGTATATTATATTGTTGTTAGGGATTACGTACAACAATTACCATAAGTCGCATAAATTTTGTCTTACATATAAATACAAAATAGTATCTCGCGAAAATAGGATTTCGCAAAAATATAGTGACCTATAGTATTCAAGGTCATAACAATTATACTATTATATCTTAAATTCTATCCTTAACATGTTGATTAACAAAAAAGTTCAGTTAATTTCTGTACGGGGTCAAAAAGGTTTCTGCTGGGGGCCACAAAGGCAATAGACAGGATGCAACATACCTGGATCAGTTGTGGTAAACTCCACCGAATCACTGGCGTTGCTAAAGAGACCGCTGTCCGCGATTGTGACCATTAAGAACCTGTAGGTGGTCAGAGGATAAAGATGGCGGAGAGTCACAGACCTGAGAACCCCATTCAAGGTTTTCGTCACGCGCTCCTTGTGACGCGAGGCCTCGTAATGAATTCGGAAACCTGCTATGGTAAAGTTGTTTTCTTCGATCCCCCAGGATATCCTAACTTCCGTTCCCGTCACCACAGTCTCATTGACGACAGGGGGCGCCACTGAGCCTTAAAGGAGATTAAAACAAATTATTACTATAATGTCTATATAATGTCTCAATTTTGTTTCATTTTATTGACAGTTGCCCGTTGGAAGCAGCCTTTATATATATAGCTGTCTAAGCTGCCATCACTCAAATCCGACAATATAATTAGTATCTGCCAACATCATATAAACCCTCTCCGTGCACATACATTTATATATATAACAATAACGGAAACAAGTCATCAATAAAATCTGCTAAGAATTTCATACTGTAAACGTTTTATGTGATACGGTGAAAGAAGGTTTTAAGTGTACCAGAAATTTTACGAGTGTTTTGATACATCTGTCGCGGTACCAGCGACAAACCAAAATAACTTGAGCCTACTGTTATTTATGAAATGCCGTGGTACGTCATCATCTAAATTCCCTCATTCATAAAAGTGCATCAGAATAAGAAAATAATAGCAGCAAAAGCTTATATTTTGTTTGGAAATTATGTTTGTTTATTGTTGACAGAAAACCTCACGTATTTAACATTCACTTCTCGCATCACACGATCTATGCCTTCGCATTCCACATTCAGCAAAAATTAAATCGCAATTGCATTAAAATTGATTTTTTTTTTTATGAAATCAGCACTCTTATTCCAGAACTTCTCTTATGAGCTGGAACGTGGGATGCTCAATGAGAATCCAATATATATATATATATATATAGAGAGAGAGAGAGAGAGAGAGAGAGAGAGAGAGAGAGAGAGTAAACTCCTTAAGTATTTAACGCTCTGTTTTCTTTAATTTTTTAATAGACACCCATATAAAAAAAAAAATAAGAATAAAAATTATGTTTAAGCACATAATATTTTTAAATTACCATCAGGGGTGTAAAAAAAGAAGAGGAAATCCAGACCTGGTCTTCGCTTCATATATAGTAACCTCTAAGAGAAGAAGATTTTACGGGAAACTTTAACAGTATGTTTCTCTTCATCAATTATGTAATAATTTGATGCAATCATTCAATTACCCGTGAGCTTTGTTCCCACACCAATCTCTCAAACAGAAAAATGTTATTCTTTTTATTGAAATGGATGACATTTCTGTCATGTATCTGGAACATTGATTTGATTAGACAGACCTTACACGCGATTCCCACATCAAATTAGTCAAATGTAAAATATATGTTGTGGGTAAAATCCATCTGAAAAAAGGATTAAAATCGTAAAAGTAGATTGAAGTGATAGTTGATATTACATAACGCCCCCATACCAGCACAAAATTCACGGAAAGTTAATTTTGTCACAATTTGACTAAAAAAAGATGGAGCAGATACATGTAGTAATTGTAAAAGCTAGTTTATTTACTTTATTTACATCCAAAGAATATCATTTCCTTGATCTGTTATGAAAACCATTGACGTTTATCAATCAGTAAACGCCACTAATCAAGCCTCCTGCAGAGATTTCTTGAGCAACGGCTCTTCCATCAATTATGCATACAATGACATACACATCTATAATACAATATTAAACTACTCAGTTTTACTTTAAATGTGTTTATACAGATATAAATATAAACAATAAAATATCTTTCTTTGTTAATAGAGGAATTAACGTCGCAGCTACTGCAGAAAAAAAATTACATAACCCGCTTACGAGGGTTACGTATTTTTTCCTGCAACATCTGCGACGTCAGTTCATGTATTAACAACCAAAGAAAGCATTTCATTGTTTAAATATAATGAATTTGTGTATAATGTAAACAAGTCATGATTTCATTGGCGAAATAAATCGTATATTCGTCTGACTTTTGAAATAAAAACATCAAAGACCGGCTAAGAATTATTAATTCATGAAGACTATGAATTAAACGGGCATTTAATAGTATTAAACTTGATAACGAAGAAACCATTAAATCTATGAAGATGACATAAATCTGACTATTTAACGGAATATATATCAAATAAGTACCCCAAAACGACTATATCTGAATATTGAAAGAGCACCTATATCAATCACAACGCGAGAAATGATGGGTAGATAGAGAGTAAAAATTGAAATACACCTTACTTAATCAGTTGATCCAAAAACACACCTTACAATATTAAAACCTAACAAGTAAGGATCTTTCTTTATTAGAATGTGTCAAGTTAGGATCCAAAAACCACACCTTATCTAATTAGAAGATAACACGAAAAAATCCAAAGCTACGCCATACTTAATTAATATATAATTAGATGGAATATTAATACATAACTCGCCAGGGTCTACACGCTAAACTACATGTATATTAGTACATGTACATAACTAGCAAGGGTGAACAGACACACCATACTATATAAGTACATTTATATATAAACTAAATATAAGCTTTTGTGGAACGAACTTCCTAATGACATAAAACATGCCCACTCCCTGGACATTTTTAAAAGACATTTAAAGACACTTTTTTATAGAATAGCTTTTTAAATACTTGGCGCACAAATTTTAGCGACAAATCTCAAAAGACGTTCTTATATTCACCGTTTTTACTTACTTAATTGTACATATGTAATTTTAGAATTTTAGTGTTATAATTTCTAACAAATATACATGAATGTTTAATTCATTAATTTATTCATAGTTCTTAAATTATGTTTATTTGCGTTTTATTGTTCGGCTCTTTACATTGATTTTGAATTATATTTAGGGCTTTATAAATTTATTTACTATTATTACATAACTAGCTTGGATCTGAAATACACCATACTATATTAATATTCCTACATACTAGCCAGGATCTACAAACAGATTGTACTATGTAAGTACGTAGCTAGCCAGGGTTTTCAAACTCTCCATACTACATAAATACAGAATTACGTATTTTCACCGTGGACACCTGGACACAGATTTGAGGTTTATATTTTCTAATATTTTAGTGTAATATAGTGGCATATGTTGCTAAAGCATATCACACAAAAATAGTACAAAAACGTGTCTAGAAACTTTTTTTTATCTGGAAATTATTAAAAACTATGAGTTTCGGAACGCGTTAAAGTGACACATATCCTTGCATTTTTACGAAGTAAATTTCATCCTTAACATTAAAGAAAGGTGGAAAATTTGTTATGTATGTATAAAAAATTTTAAAACTATAATCCAGCAATGTGTTCAGAGTAAATAAATTGAAAACATGGGTAAAATGTACACATTAACAATGAGAGAGTTCGTGCCCGAGTTTACAAACACTGATGTTTTTGTCATTGCATTTTAAGATTTTTCATACAAGTTCAATTCATTAAACTAAGGTTATTTTCGAAATAAAAAAAAAGATTTAAAATTGTATCCTTACTTATTATAATTCATTAAACCAAAAACAAATGTTAAGTGGTTAACAAACCTGACTTAACCAATACAAATAACTTGTGAGGATGAAATGTGAGAATAAAGAAACAGTAATCATTCTCAAAAGACCATTTATACAATTACACAAATTAGGAGCAGAGCCAACACGGACCTCTGAAAACAGAAATGGATCAGAAGCTATGGAGTAGTAAGCAGCCTCTCTTGACTGGTCACACCCGCTCCTATCATGATCGGTACACGGAAAATCTTAGCATGAAAATATTGGTCTTGTATGAAAGACGTCAACATGAAAGACATCAGTCAACATTCGACTTAACAGTTCATTGTATCGACCAAAGACTTTGCAAAATGTTGACTTAAATGAAATAAATGGAGATAACGAACAGTATTCAAGCTCAAAAGTCCATTAAACAATACAAAATAGGAACAGAGCAAACACGGGCCTCCAAAACATCAAAGATGGGATCAGGTGCCATGGAGGAGTGAGCATCCCCTGCCGACCGGTCACACCCGCCGTGTGCTCCTATCATGATCGGGAAATAACGGAAAAATCCGTCGACAATTCAGTATGTAAATAATGGCCTAACAATTAGTATGAAAAACGTCAGTCAATATTTGACTCAAAGATAAATTGTATTTGCTGACAAGGTCATTGTATCGACCGTAGAACTTACGAAAGATGACCTTAAACGAGACTGCTGATATTCTTGTTTCATCAACTTGTTTGTCAATAATTTACCTCGTTTTAGAAACTGTACATACGTGGAGCATGTTCTACAGTATCGAATCAACTGAGAGATATAAACCCCGTATGCAGGTGATAAAGGTATATTGCTGCATAAGTAAGGGAAGTTGACGATTGAAAAGTTAAAATCATCACGTTTATCATAAAGCTTGGTTGTTAGATTACCATTAACGTCTTTTTTCAAGTAAAAAATCCAAATATGAAACAGATGTGTCAGACTCTGTGGTATCTTTTATCTCAAGCTCACCGAGATATATCATATCGACATAAGAATGGAAATAACCATTGTTAATTGACAATACGTCGTCGATATATCTAAATGTCGAGTTGAAAAGCCACAGCAAGCGTTTTCTTCTTTTCACGTATAAGATTTGGACAAATTCTGCTTCATATGAATACAGAAAAGGTCTGCTAATAACGGGGCGCAATTGGTACCCATGGGAATTCCAATAGATTGTTGGAAGACCTGGTCTCCAAAAACCACATAGATATTGTCAATCAGAAACTCTAGCATATTTTTAATGTCAACTTCAGAGTACTTGTGTGTACAATCAGAATGTTTTATAACAAAATAATTTTGCAAATGACCAATGACAAGGTAAGTAAATTTACCAGTTCCATTTTTATTGAAAAAGCAGCTGTCAATGATATCAAAAAGCCTGGACTTTAATTTATCTTGGGGAATGGTTGTGTATAAAGTTGAAAAGTCGTAAGTTTTTAAGCTGTTGATTTTAGTAAAATCTTGTGATTTCAAGTTTTCCAAAAGTTCCTAGGAATTTTTAAGTATCCACATCTGATTTACACCACTTCTCGAATATATTGTTGCACAGTACTCTTAAAAATTTACATGAATAAACAACACATTTCATGTACGTGCTCACTCTGCTCACAATCTGTATTGTCTAAATGGACGTTTCACAATGATCATTGTTCGTTAACTT